AGACTGGACTTTATTTTATTTTCTTAGGGTTAATAAATTGTCTTAGTCCTTATTTTACTTCATACAAGCTTTTAGGAGCCTTAGTACAGTTGCTATTGCAGACCTTACCTACCTTCTTGTATTTGACTAACATAAATATAACTGGGTTAAAAGCTTTAGTTTACAACCACCTTCCCCAGACCATGAGACCTTACATTGAAATTTGGTTCTTGTATTTGACAATCCCGCAATTTCAGATTTGTTAATTTTTACATGATGTCTATGATTTGTTTGACATACAGGAAATCTCAAATTGTACATAAGAATCCTGCATTTCTGATTCATGTATCTCACATTTGTTTGCTGAGTTTTGTCTTTTGTTAGTTGAGTTATCTGCTTGAGGGATTTGAAATTTTCCAATTTAAATAAATCAAAAAAAGTCAAATTAAATGGTTGATTTTATTAAATATTTTAATTCTCACTCAGCTGAGTTGCCCGCAAAAGTGATTCAAAATTTGGACCAAGGATTTGACAATCCCGCATTTTTACGTTCAGGTTCTGAATTTACAGTAAGCACTTGCCCAATTTTAATACCATCAAATGAGATCAATTATATTGGATAATTGACTGCTTTGGCATTTATTTTCAAATTTATTAATCTTACATATTTAGTTTATCAATAAATTATAAAAAACTAATATTTTTTACAAATTTAATCTCATAGTGGTTTAATATTTCTAGACAATCATGAAATATCTAGTGTTGTTTAAAAATGTCACATAATATGCTTTTAGAGCATGGTTTTAACTCTAGGGTGTTTGAACTAGGGCTGCTTGCCAAGCCTTGGGGGTAGTGCGGCCAGTTTCTAGCTCTGGATCACCTTGTCAAAGATTTATTTTTGACTCTTTAAATATAAAGTAATTCCGCTTTGCTGTAGCGGCCCAGAGCCGGAAGTTAGCCGAGGTTGAGCTGAAGCATCCCTAGTTTGAACCCATGTTTTGGAACATAAAATGAGGGTTATTGTGGCACATTGTTTAATTTTAAGCAGCTATGGCTTATAAATTGTGTGTCTTTTTAATGTCCCAAGCCATGGCTATAGTCAATTGTTCACAGTTTTTTAATTTTGTGCCAGCACTCTTCTCTAGAGAGGAGGACCAGGAGGCTTGAGTTGATGGGATCAAATGAAAGGCAGCTAAAGCCAAAATTAAAAGGATAGAAATAGGCTAATTTCTAGAGGTGGATCATAAAAGCTAAATTACCTTTATATGAAAAGGTATTTTATCAACTACATGTGATATGTAAACAATATTTCAAGCACTCAACTGTAATTATCCTTCAGTAGCATTAGATTAATTCAATTTTGAGGATGTCGGTTAGTGGCTCATAAAGGGAACTGTGGTTATTTGATTTTGGGGGTATTAAGTGTTCTAGGTTGAGTGGCGGCATGTGGCTTTTCTCAAAGTTGGAGGTGGCAATATAATTGAGGATATCTATTCGCTGGACAGGCCTATCGCTAGGTGGGGTCAAACTGGTATGGAATAAGTTAGTCTTGATTTTGGATGTATAATTACTTCGGAGGCGTTTTTAGTTTAGCTCCATGTGCCAAATTAGAAAAGCTTTTAATAAAGCAGTAGACGGCGGAGTGGAATAAAATCGTGGTCATCGTTGTATATCCAAATTTGATTTGATGTTTGCTGCCACCGATCGTAGTCACCAGTAGGGATACTTCAGCTCAGCCCCGGCTAGCTTCCGGCTTTTGGCCGTACATCTAAACCGGAAAAGTAATATTTAAACATTTAAAATAAATCTTTGAATGAAGTGACCAGGAGCCAGAAACTGGCGCGGCTGCTCGGGGCTTGGCCGAAGCAGCCCTGGTCACTACTTCCTGTAAGCTTAAATGGGTAGGAATTATATTAATCAACCCCTGTGAGAAAATTAAGGGCTCAGGTCAACACTAAAAAGCTAATTTAAACCCTGTCTTGGATAAGTTCCATAAACCTTCGAAAACCCTAAATATCTTCCTGAAGTTAAGGCTGCTTATATTCTCTAGAAGATGAACGACTCGCTGAAGGCCAAGGCCCAAGACAAGGTCTCACAATCTGTTGATAAAAGTAAGCATCTTACGCTTTCGTACTTACATAGATCTAGTTGCACAAATAATAAGTAGCAATACAGAGCGAATGTCGGAAAACTGTCAAGTTCTGACCGGGGCATCTAAAATATGCCAGAACCTTGGCAAATATCCTATTTTAAAATCATCAAATGTGACAGAAAAGGATGGGAAAGTCAGAGGTACCAAAGTCATGTTTACTCCTATTAAAGTGAAAAGATGCAATTGATAAAATTAATCGGGGAACTCCTCTAAGTGCTTCCTGTTTGACAGACATCACAAACCTTTTCTGCATCCTTGAGTATCAAAAGTGCTCACCAGAAGGGACTTTGCTACCAATCTGTGAATCCTCTCGGTATTTTAAAGCGACCCTTCCGTTTTTAACGTGAATAGAGACAAGCTTCTTAAAAGCTGCTTTGGCAAGAGTGAAGATTTCACCTTTTACCCGGAAAGACTTTCAAACTCAACAAACTGTTTTCCTGGGGTGAAACCAGAGCCTGTGGAAGTTTCTCAAAAGCCATCTTCAGATAAATCCCAAGAAGCCACAACTGGAAATGTTTCTCAGCCTGAAAAGACTATTACCCCTAAAAAAGGTATATGATATATATTATTTAGGGTTTAATATCTTTGTTTAGCTCCAAGCTCTTCGACTTCTGAGTCTCAACTTAAAGAAATTCCTTTGGCTGGTATGATATACTTGATAACAATTGGTTGATTTGTAAAGAGTGCACTCGCTCTTCTTATTTAGCGAGATGGGGCAACAGCACATGTTTTGCTTTTAAGCCGCCCAAGGACGATCAGCTTCCGTCTGCAGAGGAAGCCAACTATAAAACTGGGAGGCTTGAGTTTGAATTGGCTGAAGGGGTTAAATGTAGAGATACCCTTAATCTTCTCGGTGTTCAAGTCCAAGATCCTTGTGGTATGTTGTATCACTAGTTTTGATTTTAAAATTTAGCCTGTGATACAAGACTTTCAGTTCTTCGGACTTGTAGTTATGAAATAGTCTCTCAAAAACTCCAGCGAGACTCCAAAGTTATAAGTTTTAGAGATGTTGAATATTTTCCCGGATTAGAAAACCAATTGAAGTTCATTGCTAAGCGTGGTTATTCTGAACAACCAAATGACTCCAATGACCCGCATTATTTCCGACGCTCATATTATCGCACATGCGATAGGTTAATCGGGGTGCCCGATGTCTTTAAAGATAAAACATGCTGTAAGTAGAATTATGTTTGGTTTATTTTAATTTCCCATCAGCCTATCCTTCGAGCATTGACCCACCAGAGCCGAGTTCAACTTCTATTGAGGTATATTCCGATTTTAAAGGTTATATCGAAAAGTCTTTTCGTTTTGGATGTACAATTGCAGAATGTCTTAATCACCTGCGCTATATGCCACCGCACCAGAAAGCAAAAGAAGCTGATAGCTTTGGCGATGCTGGTTACAAAAGTGATGTTTGTAGACAGGAAATTAGCAATTGCCCAGAGTGGAACTTCAATGCTGAGTCCATTTCAATCGAAGGCTACCCTCCCAATATCGTTTCTTATCTCGAACTGGATGTCGAAGCTTTACCCAACACTAACCGTGCTGCTGTGATATTTTCTTTTCGTGCGCTGGCCCAGCCTGTATATGAGGGCATGCGCTTTTTAGTAAACGGAATGCCTGCCATGGATTTGGTGTACAATCAAACCAATTATCGTGCCCTTGCTGTTCCCCTCATACCAGGTCGTTCCCATATCCTGAGATGGGAGTTTATTCGAGGCGATGCATCTGCTGCTTCTGGCCTTAACAGCGTTGATATTCAGACGATTGCTCTTAGAGATGCCCATCTAGCAAGGCCGTTTATGACTGATCAACTGCTCAGAGATCAACAGCAGTTCAACAACATGCCTCACATTGCCCCTGTTGCCCCCACCAAACCTCTCAATGTTCAACAATCTCTTTCTTCAACTGCGGGAGCTGCTTCGACATCTTCACTTATCTCAGTCCTTGTTATACTGTTAACGGCCTTGGGTGTTGGTGGCTTAGCCATGTGGTTGTGCAAGCGTCATAAGAATGACAAGATTAGCCGTGGGGGGCGCAACTCTCCAGGGCTTGCTGCACGCGTCACCCAATTCGCGTTTCCATCTAACCAGCCCGCAGGGTATGTTCCTTTAGGCCTATCCGCCTCTACTATGGAACTTGACACCATGAACAAATCTAGATCTCATATACATAGCCCCAAGAAAGATGTTCATACTCGACCCTCCTCTTCTAGTCATTCCGAGCAAGAGCTCATACCCCCAGAAAACTTGGACTTCATTGATGTTGAAGAAGAACGCATTGCTCTCAACCAAACCTCTGTTTCAGTTTCCAGTACGCTAACCTCCCCTCGAACCCGCCCCAGATCCCCGTCTGAAGATACTCTTAGTTAAGGCTGGTATGTGCTTATAGACCTAAGCCTCTTAAAATATCATAAATTTTATTTATATTTTTTCATTCGTGCTGGTATACTTCAAGACGTCAAAAGATACCATTGAAGCAAGACGTAACCACCAAAATTATCAAAGTTGATTTACACACCATCTTCATGGTCAGAATAAAAGCCATTTAGTTGAAGGGAACGGTGATAATTTAATTACAAATTTTAATAAATAACTTTATAGTTTCATGGTGCTATGTTATATCAAATCCAATTGAAAATGACCGAAACTTGGCAAATAATAATAGATTGGTATAGAAATATCAATTGAACGGATAATACCACCATTTAAACCAGATAGTAAAAAGGATAAAATGTCGATGCTCTTAAATTATCAACTGGGTGGCAAAGATAGATCGATCCCCCTTAAACTCAATAGGCCTCCACCAGCCCCCAAAAAAGCAATGGGCCTAGGAAACATTTGATCCGGGAACTTAAAAAAAGGCACGACGACAGCTACAGGATTTGAACCTGTGCGGGCATAGCCCATCAGCTTTCGAGGCTGACTCCTTAACCACTCGGACAAACTGCCTTTTTCACCTTGTTTAGAGGAAACACGAATTTATTCGAAGCTCAAACCAGTGTTAAAAAGGGATGTGGCCACGAGATGTGGGGATAGGGAATATAGGCATATTTTTTAAAAGATAAACTTGTTTTTATTAGAATTTATAAGAATGGCGGTAAAAGGACCACAACCTTAGATAAGTGGGGATAGGTGGGTCAATTATAATACTTTGTTGTTATTAGATTGTCTAACCAGCCCATGCGGTAAACTCCAGCTACCGATAAGTCCCGAAGAAAACAGCCATGTAAAGGTAGGGTTAGATGAAAGTCCCAGAAATCATACCTGGACCCCTAGGGCTAAGTTTGAATGTCTCCACCATTTCAGGCATATCCAGGTCCAGAAATAGGTATGGGGCTATGATTGTAGAATGACTTGAATGTCTTTCTATTTGAGTTCTTGGACAAACTGCTTTATTGCTTTTGATTGTTGTCAAGAAATCCTGATTGATTAGGGTTGACTTGACCATCTCCCCATCACAATGGCTATAGACAAAAATAGACGGACTACTGCCAGATGCAAAGCTTCTATTTTGGATGTAAAATCAATCTGCCATAAGGTTGATTAAATATTCAGTGGTGTGTGAAACACTACAATCAAAAATAGGATACCCCTATTCAAGAAATACCCAAGACATTCTAGATTAACAAGCTTTAGCTGAGTGATGTGCTTGAAAAATTAGCAAGTAAAACCATCCAGGAATACTTTAGTGGACACACCACTGCCAGATTAGAATTAGGGCAGGGAAACTCAAGATTGACAAACAAAGGACTGTCCAATTAATAAATATTTCACTGAGAAATGGGACAGAGCACCACCCACTCACAGTGCATTCCACTGAGTGCAGAACAAGATCCCACCAATGATCATCCTTAGTCAACCTCAACTAAGTCAAGGAAACATACATGCTAAAGAAGGGAAATTACAGCATATGACTTTGCCTCATTCTAAAACCATTATCTGGGTTTAAAATTACAACTCCGGGGGTTGGAACCTTTATAGTTTGAGGATGATAGGCCACCTAGTAAGAGTTAGTAGTAGCCAGACACCAGTATGGCTATAGCACAAATATGCTATAAAAAGCCCTCTCAAGCAGGCTTGAAAGGCAGTCAATTTTACACCTTTCACATTACTGTATACAGCTTTACAGTAGTGCCAAATATTAGCAAGAGCAGATTGATGTTATTGTTGGAAATTGGTGTACACCAGCAGATTAAATAGAAGATTTGAGAGGCAGGGGCACACTCTCACTATATGCCTTTGAAGGTGAGGATTCTGAAGACATTGACTAACTCATTTATAATGAATAACTTTATTTGATCCTATACAAGTAGGTAAAAATCTGCTCCCTGGCATTTACTGCCAAAACCTTATATAGAAGTATTCTCATATTATTATTAATCAGTCACTGGCAATGTCTTCTAGGACATTCCAGCGCACTGTAAAGCCTTGGTTATGCTGGTGAAAAAAGGGACAACTTTCAATTTTAGGGCACAATGTCAGGGCCCAGATTTTCCTAGACAGTCAGCTGGCCTCCTTAGAGCTGATTAAACATGCAGTGTGGAAACTCACACAAAGCATCTTCCAGGGCAAAATTCCCCCCTTTTGACTAGTGAATGGCCCGGGATTTGAGAGGCACACAAGCCTGGAATCCCTGGCTTTGAGTCTGTTATCAAATTTGGGCCACTCACCTATTGGGAAATGGCACATCAGGAGTGTGATTGTTTGATTGCGCAATCAGACAATTGATTCATTGCGGGAACTATAAATAACTGTGGCAACTCAGCATGCTGAAAATTTCAAAAAGTTCATGTTATAGCAGCCAATGAGATCTCACCCTCTTGCCCAAGCACGCAAATTCCGGTTAAAATTGTAAATCCAACTCCAAATGATGCCATCAGTTCTCTGGTGGTACAAAAGGCCACATAATCTTCAGTAAGTATAAGTAGTGAGGGAGAGAAGCCCTCCTCACTATTAACATCTTAATAAAGCAAGTTTATGCCTAGAAGTTATTATCTTATTGCAGGAATTGTCTATTTTTGCTCAAATTTAATTATTCTCTTTGCATCCATTTGTGAATCCACTACTCAATACAAACTTGCATATCCATATCCTCCTGGCTATACTCCTGCTGCCCTTGCCAAACCACCCCGCATCCTTGACTTGGAGTATTTCTAACCCCATCATCTGGATCTGTCACCAGCTATGAAGAAGATTCCTACTACCCCTCCTCTCCCCAATGCGCCTCCCACCCAGGACTTTAGCAAGCTGGGGTTTGTCTATACCACAGTATTGGGGCTGGCTAACCAGGTTGTGCTTCATACTGGGAGTTGGCGCCCCCTAGCCACTGCTCTAAACTACCTGGTTTGTATAGAGCTTATTGTGTACATGGCCTTCCAGGCCTGGCCTGCCTCTCCTATGGGAGTCCAGCTGGACTCTGGTATGGGCTGTGACACTATTAGTCCCCTCATCATTGATTTGTACCAGATGATCAAGGGTTTCCACAATACCAGGACATTTATTGTGTTTCTCCAATTGATTTGGGAGCACCTCGGGCTTACTAGATTGGGGGTTACCAACATCATTGTGTTGGTTAATGTTGGGCTTCATAAAGTGGCTGATATTCTTGATGAATTCCCAATGATTGAGACAGGCGTGAAAATTGGCCAGCAGCAATTGGCCACAGCACATATGATTTCTTCCCACCTATTCCTTATTCCTGAACCCAAATAAGGAGGTCTTTGGGTGGCTTAAACAAGCTGTCAGGTAAAGGATCCTAACTAAACCCAAGGCCTTATTTGATTTTCTACAGGCCAGGGTTCACACCCTTTTAGCTGAGACTGTGGCTAAGTTTTACACACATTCTGATTTGTTTATCCCTGTGTGCCTTGCTAAATAGCCAATCAAATAAGTATGTGGCTTATCTTTTTATTTTATATTTTTATTTTTAATAGAGAATTTATAGAAGCAAACTTTTTATAATATCAGCAATTAATCATCAGGTGTAATAAAAATTAACAAAGCAAAGGAAAATTGATTGACTGAAAATTTCAAGTTTTAACTTTTACTTACAGTAATTTTCAAACCTGTTGAGATAAATGATAAATATCAGTCTAAAAACAAAACAAAAAACAAGGAATTTATATTAAATTACTTTAGATTTGAATCCACTTTGATTTTCTTTTAGACTGAGTTGTTTTTGTTTTTTTACTGATATTTTTTATATCAACAGGTTTAAAAATTACTGTAATTATATATTCTTTGTTAAAATCTAATATATTTTCAGACTATTATTTCAACAGGTTTGAAAATAATTGTATTATAATATGGTAATATAATATTTATTGGGGGTTTGATTGATGAAACTCTTGTACTTGTTTTTGAATTAAACTGTATATTTCTATGGCTAGGGTACTGTAAATTCAGAACCTAAATGTAAAAATACAGGATTGTCAAATCCTTGGTCCAAATTTCAAATCACTTTTGCGGGATGGCCTTTTTTAATTAAATTGATTTTTTTGAGTATTTATTTGAATATTTGAAAATGCAGGAAATCATAGACACATTGTAAAGTTCACGTTGAACTGCATATTTCCAATGGACAAAATGAATTAACTGGAATCAGTTTTGAAATGTTCAAATCCACCAGTCATTTTCATTAAGTTTACTATGTTTTTTGAAATTGCAGGATTGTCAAATCCATGAACCAAATTTCAAATCACTTTTGAATGCCACTATTAAACTCAGATATTAACTGCAGGAACTGGAATCCAAATTTAATGTACAGTAAGCACACTAGGAAACACCAAACCAAATCAAGAAGCTCCACCACAACTAAAATCAAATGAAAAATTCAATCTCAGTAGCCATGTTTAGATATAAAAAGTGATTAAACTTTAAAATCATCCAAACCCAGAAAGTATACAATATTATTCACTTCAAATCACAGATATAAAAATTCTGTTACTATATAAGGCTAACTCAAGAGAAAATAACTACCCACAACTAAACCAATAAATCCAAATAAATACATATTTAATCTAAAATATATATTTTTTTATTTTTTTTATGGACTGTCAGTTGCATTCCCAACCAGCTCCTGCACCAGCCTGCAGGACAGCCCGTCCACAAGGGCGTCCCAGAGGGTCCAAGAACAGACCCAGAACCCAACTTTAGGGAAGTCATGCTGACACACAGGCCTCCCAAGGTGTCAGCACCAGCCAACCACCTCCCACATCTCAAGCCAGGAACAGTAGCCTTAATCCAAGACAGAAGCCGCTCTCAAGGCCTACAACCAAAGTCTCTTACACAAAGGTCATTGGGAATAATGAGGTTACATACACCTCCACTGTGTACCCAGTTGTCACCTGGCTCCGCACTCTTGACCCAAGAGTTGCTACTTCCTGCCCCTGTGTCTTTGACACCACCTACAAGCCATTGGCCACCACCAAGGAACCATCTGCGCCTATTGTGTATTCAACCATTGGCGGCGCCACTGCAAGCAAGCATGATCCCACCTTCTATACAAAGGTCCCCATACCCTGTGTCAAGCCTGCTATCCAGGATGCAGTGGTACCTGTCAAGGGCTGGCGTTGGTTGACAGATAGTGAGTGTGGAGCTCTCCTCAACTGCTTGAACAGGGGAATGACGGTTTGGGATATTGCGTCCCAATTTGGTGTCACAGCCAGATACATTTCCAACATCAACACCAAGTATGACAACACCAGGTGAATTGAAAAATCTGCCAAGGCTAAGCGGCAGCCCAGCCTACTTCAGCTCACCCATCTCAAGGCAATCAAGTAGTGGGTTACCAAGGATTGCCACCTGGACTCACTTGCTGTCCAATCAATGCTTGCCACAGAGTTTGGGCTTTCTGTTTCTAAAACCCTTGTTTACAAAGCAATGGTTGATTTGGGCTTCTCCTGGAAAGTACTGGGAGTTTTGCAGTTCAACAGAAACAATGATAAGAC